TTGTTCATAAATGGCGCCAATTGTCTATGGCATGGTGGTAGTCTCGTTCGAATTGCCGAGTTGATATGGACTCATCCGATTGAAGTGTCATCCCGCTCGCGCCCGTCTTGTCGTAAACAAAACAAGTGAATTTTGAGGTTACAGTTTGAATAGTGATATATTAACATGAGGAAACCAAATTCTAGTGAAATATGGACTTATTTCACACTTTGCGATGCTGAACGAGCTAAATGCAAGCTGTGTAACAATGAATATTCTCAAGGAAAGGAAAAACTACAACTTCTTTAAATTGTATTTTTTCTAATAAACATATTCGCAAAACATTCGCAGAGATTTTGCGAGTGCGAATGTGAATACGAATATTCAAAAATATGCAAATATTCGCGAATGCGAATGTGGATGCGAATATTCGTTACATCACTAATATGTACATACATGTATATATTGTACACACACACATATATATATATATATATATATATATATATATCTGAATCCATACTAATATTATAAATGGGAAAGTGTGTTTGTTTGTCTTCTCTTCACGCCTAAACCGCTGAACCGATTGTGTTGAAATTTGGTAAATGTATAGCTTGAACTTATGAGACTGCTATAGGCTACTTTTTTTTAATTTATATATTCGAATTTACATAATTTTCAACTAAATTAATCATTTTCATGGTTGGTCCCGATAGAGATGGCGCTACTGTCACGAAGACAGATTAAATTTGAAATGTGGAAGTTGCTATCTTAATACGAGATGGCACCACTCGTGTATAAATACATACAGATGTAGCTAAAGAAGTTTCACTTCAGTCGTGTGGTCATAAGCACACTCGTTTTTTTTTATTCGTAACTTATTAATATTGTACAGATATCGTGAAAAGTTTTGGGACAGTACGTACACCTGCTTAGATAGTTAACCAGTTTTTGAACTTTCAAACTCCAAGTTTTAACTTCGTTTGTGTAGTGCTTCGCTGGTCAGTTGCACTACGAATGTAGCTCTTATTGATAAGTAACAATGCTTCTATAGATAGCCAATGAAAAATGTGTATCCACTGACAAGATGGCCTACTCTAATACAACGAAAAACGGAATTTCGATCGAAACTTCGCACTTTTTTTACTCTAGTTCGTTTTTAATTAAGTATAATAATATTTGTCGTCGGAATATACCTAGATTGAGGTGTAGATCTTCTAAGCCTACTCAAAGAAAGCTTCAATTTGATAGTTTATCCTTCAAATTAAGTGAAACCTTAAAGTGACGAATATATAGATAGGTCCGACAAATGACTCCACCCCACCTGATGTTAAGTGAAGGTGAAGTCCAGACGCGAAGATAGCTGATACAGCCGTTCTACCTGCCACACCAGCCATCCTCACCCTGCCGGCATGGATGTTGCTTCTTCACGCCTTGAACTTCTTTATCGAAAATTAGTCGGAAAAAGAGAGTAGACCCCCAGGTCCTATCAGTTCCTTATGTCGACAGAATAGAGCTTATTTTCCATTATCTTCCTTTCCTATATCGAAGTTATACTTTAATGAGGAAATGTTGCGGTGTGAAGTGTGATCATTCTATATGATAGATAGAAATATTAATCATGTGTTCATACATTTTCATATTAATTAAAAATTATTATCGTTACTTATGGCATATTGTTTAGATAGGAGTAGTACTGTCCTTAACTATTGTAAAGGTATAAATTATACATCTATGCTGTCTGAATCGAACTAAGATAATATTTATAAATAATTATATGCAATGTAGACGGGGCGCGGGATCGGTATACTAGGCGTTCAGTGGTACACAAAAAACATTGGTTAAAACTCTAAGGAACCTTCATAGAAAAAAATGAGTTACAGTTAGACAATTAGCCCCTGTATACTTAAAGAATGTTGCTGAGTACATGGATCTGGTACTTTTTGTATGTATACATAACTGTACTGTGATAAAATTTGGATTTATAAAGAATTGGCCTATGAAATGTTGATTTATAAAAAATTGGCCTATGAAATATTGATTTATGAAGAATTGGCCTATGAAATATTGATTTATAAAGAATTGGCCTATGAAATATTGATTTATAAAGAATTGGCCTATGAAATATTGATTATAAAGAATTGGCCTATGAAATATTGATTATAAAGAATTGGCCTATGAAATATTGATTTATAAAGAGTTGGCCTATGAAATATTGATGTATAAATAGTTGGCCTATAGAATATCAATTTGTAAGAGTTGGCCTATTCAATCGAGTCGCACGCTGGTTTTTTATGGAATACTGACCTATCAGTACTATTGTCACAATAGTTGGCACTATTTTTGTGTTCTTTAAGATAGATTGATGGCTAATCACGCCTAATTAATCATTTTAAAGTAAGGTATTGTTGATGCTCCAGCGATATTTGCTTGTAAATAGAATTAATATAGATTTGACGTTCGAAGACCATTTCTTGAAATGACTGCCTGTGCATACGACAATTTCTGGTTTTGACCACTTCTACAGAAGAGTATCGTGCAATATCACTGTTTTTGGATTCGACCATTTAATTTTTCTTCCACTATCAGTACAGTGTGTGTGAGAAAAAATATATTGATGAAAAATATTTTTATAGCACTCTGAGAAGTGTTACTGATGTGATGATGTTAATTATTATATTACAAATATTGGTTGTTTTTATTTAATGGGCTACTTGTCGAGGTGCGCTACGTCGACACCAAAATTGAGTATTTTGTGGCCAAAAGCAGAATAGTCCATACAAGAACTAGGCTTTACAAGTGGTCGAATCCAGGAGAAAAATACCATTGAATTTTGTATTAAATAATTTGATTGGTCCTTAAACATCAAACCTGTCTGTGGGCTGTGTTAATTAATAATAGTTTGGTGTTCCATTAAACCAGCGATATGTTCTCTCGTCACGATTCAATGATAATAATATCATTTAATCACAGAAAAGAAAATATATAATGATAGTAATATATTTCGGAACCGCAATTCCAACTGAACTCTAGTATGCCGTCCAGCGTCCTACCGATACGTGCAATAAGTCAAGGGGAGCTTTAACAATGAGTTTCATTAGCCCCGGTAACTGTTGTTGCCCGGCTTATTTTATTACATTATATAAATATATATTGTATAATAAACGCATTGTAACAAAATCTGTTGTTTTACTGTAAATCAGATGGCGCCACTGTCGAGTGGGGTCCTGAAGTGTAGCTTTTAAAGACGCGCGTGAAATAAGTTTATATTTAAATCATATTTTAATACAAAAGTACCCTATCGTCAACGTTATCGGCCATGCCAATGTTCCGAAGTTTCGTTATGTTCGGAAAATAAAGGACAGTAGGACGCCGATTATCCGAATTAATTGGGACCGGGCTCGATTCGGATAATCGGACATAGACAAGTAATAAAGAAAAACGAACTGCCACACATAGAATAAACTTTATTACGTTTAACAAACACAGTTCTACAATACTAGATACAATAATAGAGGTACATAGTAGCAAAACAAAATTAAGAACAGTAAAACATGTAGTGTCTTGCCTCTAGCTTTCAACCATTAACAGTTGATATAAATATATATAGGTATTTAACATACTCGCTGGACTTTAGCGAGTTCCAACTTATTAGAACAAAACAAAAATGACTTGGTTTTAATTTTTTATATTACGCTTAGGACCGATTCGGATAATTGGCGATTCGGTTAATCGGCGTTCTACTGTAATAGTTTTTCTTAGCTCCGTTTTTAAATCACTGACATTCATTGTCAATCACACGTAATTCATATTTGCCACAATTAATCGGAGTTATTACCAAATATTTACAAGATTATTTAAATAAGAAATAAACCCGCATAGTTAACCCACATGCACAATATTTGACATTTTCGTAGAGCTCGCGCCACTAGCGGTGGATTCATACCCTATAGCCCTCCTTGCGCTTCGAATGTATAAAGAAATGGCCTTCCTCATTCATTCCTTATTAATTGTGATTTTTTTTGGTCTATGCCTTTTGGCGCTCTTTCTCTGCCTACCTCCGGGAACATGACGTGTAGACGTATAATGCGATCGACTGAGCGCCATATTGTGACGTCATGGCTGTCATTTCAAAGCAGTGAAATAGGTAGTGAGCAAAAAAGTTTTAATTTAATAAGAATAAGTGAGAAAGTGCATCAGATTTTTTAATAAAAATTATTTACTAAGATTGAGAAGAAAAAAACAACCGATTTTTAATAAATGATTAAGACTGAGAAAAAAGATTAATCGGAATCTAGCTCTTCAATTCTGCTCATCTCTGCATTACCGCCGGAGTAGTTAAAAATAATCATGCACTATTACTAGGTCACAAACGAACATGCATCCTTTATGTAAACGAAAGTTTTAAATCCAGTTTATGAACGCAACTTAAAGTGACATTTGGTTGACGATTTAGGTTATCAACCATTCATAGCCAAAGCTCTATTAGTGAAAAAAAATACCAACCAATATTAATCATCAATATTTGTTATTATTTGTTTCCAAATGTTTGGTTTTAATCTAGAATTAGCCGAGTGCTAAAAGGGGGGTCCAAGATGTTTTTGCAAACCGTAGTTCTCAAGCGAAATTTGACAGATGGAGGTCACTGGCTTTTCTATTCTTATTTGAATCGGACTATATAGTGTACTAGCAAACCAGTGAACCAAATGTTCACCAAAAAAAAAATGTATTTAATTAATTGAGAACTTCGGAGATTTTGTGTGGTTTCGTTTGAAATAGAAATCACGTGATTTCTCGAAAACCGGAAGTGCTACGTTACTCACATCCGGTTTGTAGTCTTATCAGACTATTCTCAACTTATAACTTAAACATTCTCTTTATCTATCTCTTACGGTTTGGCCGCTGAAACAGCACCACGGACGGACGGACGGACGGACTTGTCTAATAGATAAGAGATTCCATTTATGTTCGTCTAACAAACCAAATATCCCTGCAAAAAACAAAAAAATAAAAATCCAAGCGTTGTATTTCGATCTGATTTTAATTAACATAATTTATTATACATTATAAACACTACTGCTGTGTGCCTCTATTGTCTGGCAGCGATGGCGGACAGGTCTGCGATGCAACGGTCCAAGGTTTGCTTCTCTTGTTCGGGAGTGATGGCTTTGGTAACGTTGCGAACGATCCAATCGACCATAGCGCGTTGGGAGAGACGACGCTCCAGGTTGCTCTTTTCCAGCTGGTAGTCTAGACGGCGTTTCACCTGGGAAAGATTAAATTATAGAACATTAAGTGCATGTCAGGGCTTGTATACCGGTTAATTTTCAAACCTAAATGAGTGTCAAGTACATTAGGACCGTTTTACTTAGGATTGGCTCTACTATCTCTATTGGCTAACCTTAAAAACCGGTTTTCCTAAAGAACGAAATCAAATAGGTTTTGAATCAATTTAGCGGTTTTTAAAGGGTTTCATTTCGCTCTTACTGGCGGCTGAAATAAATACACAACTACAAAATTAATAACTTGACTCACTAGACGCTAGCAAACGTGTCAATAAATGCATCAATCTTTGAGCATTAACAAGTTGTGACTTGATTAGTTCAAACAAAACAAACTTCAAGCGATGCCGAAGCGTGCATGTGTCGCTCAGGATTAAACCGGTTTATTAAGGTTTTAGGTACCGCTTTCATTTCGGACGCGCTCCGAACGAAACCTTTACTAAAAACCGGTTTTAACCTTTACTTACCGGTATTTTTGAAACCGGTTTCAAGCCCTGGTTACAAGTGTAATTTTTTTTATCTAATAAACCTCACCTCATTATAAGCTTGCATGGCACGTTCCCTGTAAGCCGCTTCTAACTGCAGAAGCACATTCTCCTTCTTGGCCTGCATCAACAACTCCTGGCCTTCAGCCGACCACTGAGCCTTCTTCTCCGCCTCTATGGATTTCTCGAGCGAAGCGATCGTTGACCGACGACCTTCGTTCCATTCGTTCTCGATGGACTGTAATTGTAAAATATTGGACAATTAATAGACTTTTTTCGAGGAGCTTGATGTTAAGCAACCTTCGCAGTGGTCGGTCATTGGATGGGTGACCAAAAACTAGCTCGAGCTTCTCTGTGCTTCGGAAGGCACGTTAAGCCGTTCGTCCCGGCTGCATATGTAGTCGTTAGCACCCTCCCACCCTCACTGGGCCCGCATGGTGGGTCATGGCCCAATCTCCCTATTCCATTCATATTGAATGATACTGATGATGATGATGAACAAATCTTATTCAATAAACCTGATGATTTGGATCCCTTAGAAATGGGACAAACAGATAAGACGTAAACATAGCGCTTCTATACGTTTTGTATGAAAAGTAATCTTATAAGTAAACCAAGAAGTCAGTCTTTTATTTGCAGGACTTTTAATACTATGACATAACAGACAAAACAGTTTTTTTATTTATTTATTATTATGAACATGTTCCGTATGTTCATAATAATAAATAAAAAAAAACTGTTGTTAAAGTTTTTACTAGAGTTGTAGATATTTATGTTTTTCAAGTAATCAACAATAATTATTTAGAAGAGTTATATTATGTGATATACAATGCAGCTTTCAGGCATGTGTTTGCTTTCAGAAACACAGGCTCTTTCCTTATTAACCAGACAACATTGCCTCAAATTATTTATTTACTTAAAAATAAAAAATAATTTGGGCAATGTAAATAAATAGCGTATAACTTTTATACCACACCATTTTTATGTTTATTGAAAGCCAGACTAAGCTGTGTATTGTTTCATCGGATATAAACAAAAAGTGAGTAAATGTTTAATTATTTTATTGATTATGTAACAGTGGAAAAGCAGAATCGCCTAAACACAAAAACAAATATTAACATATTTCAATTTTTATTCATTTTTGTTTTTGAGCAGCATAAAAGTGGTATAATAAGTTATTTTGCTTTTCCACTGTCCATAAAAAGAAAAAGAAAATTCAAAGTATACTTACATCAACTTCTTTGTCTAACCAAGAGGCGATGCCGGGTCCTAACTTCTTGCAGGCAACATACACCATTATCAGAAGTGAAAGACCAGTGTAGTACTCGTGCTCCATCACAAAGATTTCCTTGCTGCACAAGTATGTGGTTAGACCAACACCAAAAGTGTATGGACCAGTCACACCAGTTTTGCTGTGGAAGAACTGGAACCTGGAATGAGAAAGGAGACATTTACCGTTATAATTTTAGCTGTAACGTAATGGCCTAAAACTTAACTTAATTAAAAAATAACATACAATTAACAAAACAATTTATTATAACTATATTTCATCACTATTAATTATATATATTCGTCAACCAATAAAATTCTATATTCAAAATAATTACATAAAAAAATATCACTCCAAGGCAAACCCGGGAGCTATCACTTGTTATGAAACTCCTATGATAAAGGCGATGGTTGCGGGTATGTCGAATATAAAATGGATACGTTGGAACGACCGAGCGGCGGCTGAGAGACTGCTATTTCGTCATCTATGAAGACGGGCTCGTTTAACTATTTTTTTAATTCTGTGCATACAAGTGAAATTAGTTTTGCATATTATTATAAAATTTATACGTCAAAATAAATACAGTTATAGTTCCCCAAGGATTGGGGTTCACCGTACCGGTACCTACTGATCCGGGAATCTAACCTACCGAGAGGCGACGGCTACCCGGGAAACCTACCCATACTACCTGGGTCTACCTGCCTACCTACCTGCTGCCTGTGCTGCTGGCACATCCGATAACCTCAGGACAGTGATTGTGGAGCAGACTTTGTTACTCATATTGGCTCGTGAATATACTTACCCACACCCTTGTTGTCTGCTAGTCTATGTGCCTACCTACATCTAAGTTTAATAAATACTTGCAACTGTAAATCTAGTATTTTACTATGATCCTCTAATAGGAGTGTTACATTGGCGCCTGACAAGGTTATATTCACGACCGATGTGTGTAATTTGGCTTGTTACGCATTTTATAGTTTTCTTTGGTGTTGGCAACTAACGTCGTAGATTTAAGATTGAATTAGCTTACTTAACTCTTGTTTGTGCAGTAATATAGTACAGTGTTCTATTTTACATTAATTTCCTAAAATATTCATGATAATAAAATTTCTGCTCTAATCTGAAATTCCTTCTGGGGGAATAACCTCCACCTTATTGAAGACCATAAAAAATAAATTACCTTTTAGTGTTGTATTACTGTTGGTGTATTTTACTTATCACTAGGGTTACGAAGCTGCACAGCCAAGGTTCAAGGCTAAAAATTGATAATTTTATACACATTGCTATAAGGTAACACTGTACCATATTAATAATAATATAATTATTGTAGAACTTCATTATAAGTTAAACGCTTGTAGTAATTTTATTCTTTAGTTTTATAATTGTAGTGGCTTAGACCTTGCAACACACATCCAAAATTTGGATGTAATTTTGGGAACATCATGTCTCACCCTATTAAGTATCTCTCTCTGCAAAAGGCAGAACTAGAATACGAAGTGCTACTTCGAGGTGGTAGTGGCGAGTCTGTACAGGAACTTAGGAAAGAGATAGTCAAACTATCCCAGCTTTTACCACCCGAAGATATTCTTGAGTTTCACCTTAATCCAACTGATGATATAAAGCAGGTTAAGGAATCACTATTAAAATCACAAAATAATTTGTCTACTCTAAAGTCAAAATTTGATAAAAATGTATTTAACAGAACTGAAACGCTCTTGAATCATATCTATCATCGTATAAATAGAATCAATCCAGAACCAGAAGTGAATGATGTCTATAAGGTTTGTGTTAATAGCTATCAGTCTCAATCCAATGAGCTTTCTTCACTTAAACCTACCAGCCTACAGTCAAAAAAATTGGCCTCAACGTCTGATTGTGTCTCTGATGTTCCTACAGTGTCTGTCAATTGCGAGCGCAGTCTTTCGGCTGACTTAAGTAAATTAAAATATTCGGGTCATACTTGCGTCCATTCCTTTATCCAAAGAGTCGAGGAATTTGTACAATCCCGCGGTATATCCTACGATAAAATACTCACATTAGCCTTTGAGATATTTGTAGACGATGCTTTGCATTGGTATCGTTTTAACAAAGATAAGGTATCTTCTTGGTCTGAATTACGTACGTTATTAAAACAAGATTTTAGTAGTACTGACTATGATTACAAATTTCTACACGAAATTCGTTCACGTACGCAAGGTGAACAGGAAAACATAACAATCTACTTGTCTATAATGCATGGTATGTTTTCTCGTCTTAATACACCTTTATCCGATCACGATAAGCTTGAAATACTTACACATAATATTCGGCCATGTTATGCAAATTTATTAGCAGCATCTCCAGGCATTAAGTCGATTGATGACCTCCAATCCATATGCCGTAATTATGAAACTATAAATTCAAGATTTTCACAATTTCATGAGCCACCTAGAGTATCAAGCTACACACTAGCTCCAGAGTTTGCCTATAAACCTAAACCTAACTATATTTATAATAATAAACAAGAACAATCAACTATTACGAGTAAAAAAAATTACAATAGTAACTATAATTCTAACAATTACAAAGACCAAATAAGTTTAGAGGAAATTTTGTAAATGATAGCCGTCAAGCTCACGTAGCTGTTATATCTCCTGACCAGTCTCGGTCAGTATATTGTCCCAGATGCAGGGTTAACACACATTCTCTGAGACAATGTGTCGAAGAACGGTTTCTCATCTGCTTTAAATGTGGGAAAAAGGATGTAGCTTACCCAGATTGCCCCAACTGTCACCCTGTTGGGTCAACCAATCCTTCAAAAAACTAATTAAGCCCGATTGGAGAGTCACAAACAAGGAATGGCAAAATTGGTTAAAATTTATTAAAACTTTTTCTTTATTCAACTCTGTCTCTTCAATCGATGATAAAAATATACCTCATTTAAATAAAACAAGGCCTTATGTTAATATTAAAATTTTAAACCAATCATTTACTGGTCTACTTGATACAGGCTCATGCGTTACTATTTTTGGGAATGGGTCTCATAAAATATTACTTAATATGGGATTTCGCTTACAAGAAAAGGATTGTGCTCAATTCGTAGCTGCAGGCGGTGAGAAACTAAACTCTATAGGTTTGCTGCACCTACCCGTTAAATTTCAGAACCAAACTAGTACCATTACTGCATATGTCGTTCCTGAGATTAAAAACTTCTTAATATTAGGGATAGATTTTTGGAGAACCTTTGGACTATTTCCTAAACATCTAGATGCAATCACCTTTCAAGCTGATTCAAAAGTAGAGTACAGTATGAACTCCATTCAGCAAAATAACTCTTTATGTTCATATGAGCACCTTTCCGATCAACAAAGACAGGAAGCTGATAGTCTTATATCACAATTCCGTGAGATCTCCTATGAGGTCCGTGGTTTGGGCCGTACTTCCCTAATTACACACACTATTGACACAGGGGACATTGCCCCAATACGTCAACGCTACTATCGAATGTCCCCAGAAAAGCAAAGAGTATTAGTCAAACAGCTAGATGAAATGTTGGAGGATGACGTTGTAGAACCGTGTGAGAGCCCATGGTCGTCTCCAGTTCTCCTTACACCGAAAAAGAACGGGGAATTGCGTTTTTGTCTAGACAGCAGAAAACTCAACTCGGTGACTAAAAAGGATGCATACAGCCTACCGTACATCACTGAAATTCTTGATAACCTTCGTGACGCTAAGTACCTTAGTAGCATCGACCTCTCCAAAAGTTTCTGGCAGATATCGATCAGAGAAGAAGATCGTTGCAAGACCTCCTTTTATATTCCAACACGGGGTACCTTTCAATTTAAGTCAATGCCCTTTGGATTAACTAACGCACCTGCCACACAGCGAAGGTTAGTTGATTTCCTATTTTATGGTCCAGAATTCGAGCATAAAGTGTTCGTCTTTGTTGATGACGTCATAATTGTTTCGGAAACCTTCAGCCATCATATATCACTTCTAACTCGAGTCCTGGAAAAACTAAGATATGCTAACTTAACCATAAACTTCGAAAAAAGTCATTTCTTCAGAAAGAAAATAAAATATCTAGGTTATATTGTAGATGAAAATGGACTACAAGCTGACCCAGAAAAAGTAAAATCCATTACGGACTACCCTACCCCTTCTAATCGTAAGGAAGTTCGAAGATTCCTGGGCACTGCTTCTTGGTATCGAAGATTCATTCCCAACTTCAGCAGTTTAGCTTCCCCTCTAAATAAGTTAACTTCTCAAGGTAAGAATGCACCCCCATTTTCTTGGTCCCAGGAGGCGGATGAGGCCTTCAGGAAACTCAAGTGCCATCTAGTTTCGGCACCAATTCTCTCTTGTCCTGACTACTCAAAATCATTCGAGGTCCACACTGACGCCAGCAATCACGGCATAGGTGCTGTACTTACACAAAAAATTAACAACGAAGAAAAAGTAATAGCTTATATGAGTAAATCGTTGTCTAAACAAGAACGCAATTATAGCGCTACGGAACGCGAAGCCTTAGCCGTGCTCACCGCAATTGAGCACTGGCGCTGTTACCTTGAAAATGGACTTAAATTTACGGTGTTTACAGACCACTCCTCGCTCAAATGGTTCTTAAACATAAATAATCCAACCGGAAGGCTCGCACGCTGGGGTGTAAGACTCTCCGCTTTCAACTTTGAGATCAAACATCGTAAAGGAGCTGATAATGTTGTACCAGACAGCTTATCTCGTGCAGTTCCCATAGCTACCGTCGACCAACTAGCTGGCAGTACCAGTAATCCAAATTTTGTGACTAACGATTCCTGGTATTTAAATCTTCTTGAAGGTTGTACATCTTCTCCCTCGTCTTACCCAAACTATCGCGTCTCTAAGGGGAAACTTTACCGGTATATAAAATCTATAAACCCCCTTACTAGAGAATTCGAATGGAAAGAGGTTATACCGCTTGAACAAAGAGAACACGTTATCTCCCAAAATCATTCTGAGACCACCTCCGGACACTTCGGAATTTTTAAAACACACAAACGCTTATGTTTGAAATATTTTTGGCCTGGCATGCATCACGATGTTTCAAAATTCGTTTCTAATTGTGACACTTGCCTATCATATAAATACCCTAATCACTCTACTTTGGGCATAATGGGTAGGGCAAAGAATTGTTTTAGGCCATTCCAAATGATTAGCGTGGATTTGGTTGGTCCACTTCCCGTTACCAGAAAACAAAATACCTTTTTACTAGTCGTTAACTGTTGTTTCTCCAAGTACTGTTTACTCTTTCCTATTCGGCGAGCTACTGCGGAAATTATAGCAAAAATTTTGGAAGAGAATATTTTCCTAGTACATGGTATACCTAGCACTATACTGATGGATAACGGTAGACAATTTATCAGTTCTACCATGAAAAAATTGTTCACTACATACAATGTACCGAACACCTTCTACACCCCATTATATACCCCGCAGGTAAACTCAGTAGAACGTTATAATAAAACAATTATTACAGCCGTTTCTGCTTTTGTAGGCAATGACCACCGATCATGGGATACATATATTCCAAAAATACAGTTTGCTCTTAATAGTGCTGTTAATGAAGTGACCGGTTACACTCCATCATTTTTGGTATACGGTCGTGAATTGATTGATTGTGGCTCACATTACATTGACAGCGATCTGGACGATCATATTATTTTTACACCTCGTGATCCTTATGCGGAAAACTCAGGATGCTTGCGTAAGATTTTCGATCAAGTACAAGCTTCCCTTATAAAGGCACATACTAGAAACTGTACTAATTATGATCTTCGTCGAAAGAACGTAGACTTTAATGTTGGTGACACTGTCTGGAAGCGTACCTTTTACCAAAGCGACAAGGATAATAGGTTTTCAAAGAAACTAGCTCCTAAATTCATCAAATGCCGCATTATAAATAAACGTTCTAAGCTTGTATATGATTTGGAGGACATGTCAGGAAACAAATTGGGTTCATGGCATGTTAAAGATTTTAAGCTGTCCTAATGAGCAGCGATCTCAAGAGGATTTTATAAGTAAAATCCTAACCTAAAAAGGGGGGTATGTAACGTAATGGCCTAAAACTTAACTTAATTAAAAAATAACATACAATTAACAAAACAATTTATTATAACTATATTTCATCACTATTAATTATATATATTCGTCAACCAATAAAATTCTATATTCAAAATAATTACATAAAAAAATATCACTCCAAGGCAAACCCGGGAGCTATCACTTGTTATGAAACTCCTATGATAAAGGCGATGGTCGCGGGTATGTCGAATATAAAATGGATACGTTGGAACGACCGAGCGGCGGCTGAGAGACTGCTATTTCGTCATCTATGAAGACGGGCTCGTTTAACTATTTTTTTAATTCTGTGCATACAAGTGAAATTAGTTTTGCATATTATTATAAAATTTATACGTCAAAATAAATACAGTTATAGTTCCCCAAGGATTGGGGTTCACCGTACCGGTACCTACTGATCCGGGAATCTAACCTACCGAGAGGTGACGGCTACCCGGGAAACCTACCCATACTACCTGGGTCTACCTGCCTACCTACCTGCTGCCTGTGCTGCTGGCACATCCGATAACCTCAGGACAGTGATTGTGGAGCAGACTTTGTTACTCATATTGGCTCGTGAATATACTTACCCACACCCTTGTTGTCTGCTAGTCTATGTGCCTACCTACATCTAAGTTTAATAAATACTTGCAACTGTAAATCTAGTATTTTACTATGATCCTCTAATAGGAGTGTTACATAGCCTTAATTAAAAATCTTCACTGTAAGCAAATGTACTACATAAGATTTGAAAATAAATCATCTAGATCAGGGGTGCTCAAATCTGCAGCAGTCTACCAATGCTGCTTTCCTTCTGGAGCAATATAGGCTGGCTGGAGTAAACGGTAATGTTTTTGAGACACGCACAACGGTCTAATCACTGTGTGACAAAAAAAATTTTTTCAGTAACATTGATTTAAATAGCTGATTTCTGTCAAATTGGGCCTGCTGAACACGAACATGTGAATGAATTTCTTGTAACACGAACCATTTCAAAGTTATGATAAATTTTAGTTTCACAAATGAATTAAGACAGTGTAAAAGATTCAAATCAAATATAAACATGTTTAGTCATCTGTATTTTGAATTTAAATAAAAAAAGTAGTACACTGTCTTATTTCATTTATGAAAGTAAAATTTATCATAACTTTGAAATGGTATGTGTTACAAGAAATTCATTCATATATTTGTGTTCAGCAGGCCCAAATTGACAGAAACCAGCTATTTAAATGAATGTTATGGAAAAAAATTTTTTTTTTTGTCGTTCGTAATAATGACTCACGAGCGAGTACTGTACAGATGACAAATAAAATAATTCTGCAGTGTTGTTATTACCCTAAGGTTTTAGGTGTCCAACTCAATTATGGAATGGATTTCAGCCCCCAAGCATGAACACTGCAACATGGTTTTAAACGCACTGAATTGTCAAATTACTATTGAGAGTGACAGTTAGACGGGATAAAAAAACGTGATAGAATGTAAATTGTGGTGCTATTGTACATTACCATTCTTCTGGGATGAAACCAAGTCTGACTTTGCCAGGCTCGCCTCTCACAGGCCTGGGGAAATTCTTCTCATCGCGGACACCGGAAACTTCTGTGGCAGAGCCCCGAGCAACAAGGGCAGTACTGGCGGACTGTCGAGCTGCAGCTGCGATACAAATGGGAAAAAAGCATTTATAAATCTGTTTTCATTGATACATCATGATCTTTATCTGATACTTTTCAAATTACTTCTCCTTTCTCTAATTTCATACAAAACTTATATCACTTTGCCTATCTTATACATGAGAATAAAGTGTATTTATTCAAATGAAACTAAACCAAATAATGCTTATTAAACACAAAAATAAGATTCAGACTACCTTCATGGAAATATCTTTATTATTTTTTACTGATAGCTCTTTTATAGCGATATATTATTACACCGAAACAAAGCCAAATACATAAAATATTGTTAACTTTAATAAGTAGCAGGTTCAATCATCTAAATTTTAATAAGGGCTTCTGAAATTTACATGACTTATTAGGAGACTGTAAGCACTTGCCTAGTAGGCGATAAAAGGGCGCTGCAAGGAACTTCTAGCATGTACTTTGACCGCAATTTAAACTATTTTATTAGGATCTCAACAATTACAAGAGTTGTCAATCAGTGATTACATAAACTCCTTAAATTAGAGGTTAAGGTTATCAATGCTTTAATTTCCTATGGTAACGCCATTATAACATTAAATATACTCAATTACACTCACCTGACCGCAAAGCTACACGAGATAGCATTTTCCTGTCTGAAAAATCCTATTTAATTCAACTTTACGACAGTCCTAGAGATCCAGATAGAAAATGTACTTTTGCGATAGTGTTGTACTGAAACCGATTATGAAGTTCAATTAATTGAATTGAAACAAACTACCTGGATACTTATATCGACTACCTCGTAATAATCGGTACAAGTTTCACTCCACAAAAATAACTAAAAAATATCTAGTACTATGAGAAATGTAGAACTGAATGGTTTTAATCTCAAATTTTATTGCGTTCGTTTATGAGAGTAAATTTATTTATTAAACTACTTGACCGTCACTGAAAGCTTTATATTGAGATAGCACTTCCGTTTCCCGTCGAATTACCATCAGTTTCCGTACTTTTATTCACTTTGTATCCGGTCCAGTGGCGACACCTGGCGAAGCGCGCCCATTTTTGTTTTCCTAAGTTTTGACAGCGCTATATTAACTCATTGGCGTTCTGACTCCCGTCGAAGCAACACGTGCTCAATCTGAGCGATCGTTGTGAGATTTTAAAGGTTTTATTATTATTTAGTGATAAAACTGTAAGTAAAAATATTTTATTTTAACGGTTTTTGCCGTTCGTGTTATTCCAAATAGGTACTTTACGTGTTAAAAGTGAAGGAACCGTAAGTAAAACTATTATTCTTTTTGATAGTTTTTGGAGCTCTTGTGATAAGGGATATTTAAAACAAATATATTAAATTGTGCAATACCCTTGTTTAAAAAAGTAATAATAAGCCGTGAGTAAAACTTGACGGTCATTCAAGGTGCGTTTTGTTTTAAAAAAGATTAAAGTACCTACATTAAAATAAATTTTGCAATACTTTACGACTGTCTTGGTCGTTTATAATAAAAACTATTAATGTTTTCTCTTGGTACTCAATAGGCTAGTTGACCCTTTTTGGAAAAAGGTTTTAAATGGTTAATAAATGTTCTATTAGACCAAAAAAAAATGTATTGTATTTTTTTTAAACCTAGAAAGCTACAAATCTTTAATTTTAAAATAGACTTTTCATGGACATACAAAAACGCTGTCGGCCATTTTAGTCTATAGATTGTCTATGCTATGACGTGAACTGTGGTAAACAAAAACTCGTAAACACGTAGAAAATTACTTTTAACTGAGTTTATAATAAAAAAAAACATGATTTCTAATAAATACCACGAAAAATAAAGTAATTATCATTACTGTATTGTACGAGAATATAAAAACACATCCTTGTAGACTCCAGGAAAGTTGTGGATTAAAGTGCCGAAAGAAATTAACCTACGCAACTTTATAACACTTATTCATATGTTGTATCAGTTTTATGTTTATTACTACATTGTAATACTAAATGCACTGTACTTACATAGATGCCTTGTCGTTTCTCTGCTCCGCAGAGCAGAAATCGGGGTTTAGTGCAACAAATTCACCAACCATCAATGCGTCAATTCTTGGCAGATTTGTGCTTTCTGCTTTCACAAAGCCGGCATCCATAATTTGTTTAGTCAAAAAAAACTAAGTTTACTGTTTTTTTCTTTCCTAAAGTTAAAAGTGTTTTAAGATAAATTTAGTCAGACGAAAGAATCCACCTACAGTAACACGCGAATGACATTTAGTTGTTTACCATAAGAGACGTCAAAATCATGGCGAATGTGGCGAACAGCGTTTTTAGTGTTTAAAAAATATAGACTAAAAAATATTTTTTTAAATTAAATTTCTACAGCAATCTTCTGCTTTTATGAAGTGAAATCGATATATTAAGGTTCCTTAGACTAAACACTTTAAGAAATAAACATTTATTTAATACAATTCGACATGAGTAAACTAGCCTATTAATGTTTCCGTATAAGTAAGTGTGAAAGTAAATTGGTAAATATATTACAAAATACTTAATTAAATTATTTTACAGTTTAGAGTGAAGGAACATCGGTCAATATTGAGGTTTCTGCCTCCGACTGACTGGCATTAGTGGCAAAAACAGCAAGATGTGTGGATCTAGTCATAATTGTTCTTCGAACGGCTGCAGTAATAATTGGTTGAATTTGTCGTCTTCTGGTATAACGAAAGCGGCATCGCTGCCTCAAGAAAAGTAAGCGAGCTTGATATTCCAGCCCTTTTATTAAAAGATTGTTCGAGGGGTAAGTGAACTATGTACAATCTTAATAAGGTATTTCTAATGTCGATGTGCCGTTTTCTGAACATGGCCAGCTATCAATATCAAAAGGCTTATGAATAAAAAGTTCTAACATTTTTACTGACCAATACACGTGATAAAAATTCTCATGTAAATCGTGTGACTAAACTAGGATAAAGGAACGCTCTGTTCGAAAGATATCCAACGTTTATTTTAAATGATATGCTGATGTAAATTGAAAATTATAATCATAGTCCAGGCTTTATCAACCGGGAAACAAACAACGAGGTATAGAAGTATGATGATAATTTATGATATATCACGTTCCTGACATTAATTTTCTTTCAGCAATTGCATATTTCTAAAATAAAAATGAATTATTGCGGGAAGGTACCTGCTCAGTTAATTGTAATAAACGAAAGTGATAAGATAACAGAATCGTTTCTTAGGTCTTTTACAGCTAGTGAGGGCACAAAGCTAAAAAGTAAAAACTAAAGCACTGTTTAAGAAGTTAGTGATCTCTGTGATGAAGCACCACTTAATAAGATACCATCTAATCACCCATAATGATTTAGAGCTTTTGAGGTTGTTTTTCTCGTATTAAGTAAGTATTTGTCATAGATTTAAGTGACTGACATTTCATCAACCTAATGAGCAACTCGCGCAGAGGCAAGTGATATTCATAAGCTTCTTCTTATGAAGCCCAAGGCGTCGCAGGACATGCCCTTCCATGGCTTACCTACACATTTGAGTACCGGTGGCAAATCACCCTCGCGGGGTGCAAATTATATATAATTTGTTTCCACTACGTGGAATCTTATGAAATGCCTCTAATGCCTTGCCTACGTATACGAGTACCAGAAGCAAATCACCCTCGCGGGGTGAATATTATATACAATTTGTTTCCACTACGCGGAACCCTATGAAATGCCTCTAATGCCTTGCCTACATATACGGGTACCGGTAGCAAATCACCCTCGCGGGGTGCATATTATATACAATTTGTTTCCACTACATGAAACCTTATGAAATACCTCTAATGCCTTGCTTACATATACGAGGGACGGTAGCAAACCACCCTCGCGGCGTGCATATTACCAAAACTCTAATGACCGCCCCTCGCGGGGAGCATATTATGTATAATTTGCTTCCACCGTATGGAACTCATTATGAATAAGTACTTGCCTTCCATGGCTTGACTACACATACAAGTATCGGTAGCAAAACATCGTTGATAGAGGAATATCCTCATCAATCTGAAAATCGCCCTTGTGGGGTCATATCACACATAATATATTATTTCCATTACGTGAAGCTCAATATATGTTCTCCTTAGAACATGTTCGCTTATGGAGTTCGTACTATTATGTAAGCACCGGTAACATACGACACTCGAGTGGAGCAAATTATGCATAATTTAACATATAGTCTATTCGTGATTCATAATTTATTTTTGTGACCATGGGGTCTGTAAAAGTGTAAACGATTCGAAACATTGAAAATATAATCAATGTCGCTTGACATAGTTCATTACTTCCATCGCGTGGAAATCCATACATCAACGCAACGCAACATACCCGCTCATGGCTTGCGTACACACATAAGAATCGGCTATAAACTATCCTCTTAATAGACTATAAAGATCGAACATCGAATGTTGACGTACCCCGTTGTGAAGTGCAATGTACGTGGTTTTTAAGGTGTCGCGTACTCCGAGGTCTTGGGTTCACCCCGACGCGTGGGGCAAATCATTGTATGATAAAAACGAGCATCTGTGCCTAAGTCTTGGTTGTTAACAAATATTAATTCAAAATCATACTAATCTATGCATCATCATTATGCATTTCTATGCCCATAACACAAGCCTTTCAATGCCTATTATGAGGCTAGGCTAATTGGTGTGAAGTGTTGACTCGATCACTACGGTTGTTCTACCGTAATATAGTTATAGACGACGTGCTGTAATACATTTCAAATGAAAAAGGAATATCGAAACAATTAATGTTTGAAAAAATTTAATGCAGGACAGTTGATAAATTGGGAGCACCACAAATAATTCTTAAATAAATTTGATGGATTGCATGCCATTCAAAAGCTTGTTTATCTAAATCCAATATATATCAAATTTCAATCTCAAGTGCACTATAAATATGTAAGGAATTCTAAGTTTTCTGCAATTTAAGGACTATCTGCCAGATAGATAGATGATAACATATTTTCTCTTGAAAATAACAAAAGTAAAGCAAATCGGTTGCTTGCAACTTGCAATATTAGAAATGTCGTGTACGAGGTGTCTGAGGTGGCCAACATGATCATTTTGATATATATATAAGTGGTGCTATGTACTGAAAAAAGATTGCTTGATTCTTGAAAGGTTTTGAAGAACATTGTATGCAATTATCCACTTTATCTTATTTTTAGTAAAAAATACTGAAAACTGTTCTTAATAAAATTATGCTTTCTAACCTTGCCACGACTGTCTTTAATAAATATACTTCAAACCCTACGCATAGTACATGCACACCTCATGTAAGCTGTGTAAATCTTATAAATAACTAAATCTTTATTTAGAATTAAGTAATACATATAAATGACTCAGATCTAAGAACTGAAAAACAAAAGGAAAAATTACAATCAATTATAGATTCCAGGATGGCAAATGAATTTCATAAAATCTGGTCTGACCTTCGTAATAGCATATTTTATCACGGCAACCCAGCAAGAATATAAAAACTATACCTGAGAGTTTCGTTGTAAAAACGTAAACTTCAGAAGTTGTCGGTTTCAACATTTTTGTCATTCCGTCATGAATACACTGCAATCGACCTTGCAATCACTTCCCGCCAATCTAATATGAAAGCTTGGGAAGTGTAGTTCAAGAACACGGCTCTACCACTTCATTTCAATCTCTACTTCAATCAAATAGATATGCTAGCACTACGCTTTTCATCATATTCTACAAAGAGCGACAGCTCTGTCTTAAACAGCTATGAGATGGCTCTGAAACGCTGGCTTGCGTGGTTGCATTGGTCTAGGAACAAGAATGTTTATCGGAATAATCCCGCAAGTTGTTTACTCGGTTCTTAGTTATCACGATTTTTAAGAGACTTATTTTTAACACTTGACTTATCTCAAAATAAGTACCATTATTTTAAATAAGTCAGTAGTTTTTACATGATATACCAATGGATGATAAGTCTAATTACCTAAACTCACCTGTCTTGGCGTAACCCACTATTCTGTGTCTATAAGTTAACTTATTTCCTTTTCTTCAATAATGTATTCATTACATCATAATGATCTGTTTCAAATACCTCGTCATACTAGTTGTTGTTCTGAACGTCATACAGTAATAATGCTGCGTATTATTTGGTTCAGCATGTGGTACACATGACATGTTCCTATTTCAAATTATCCCGAATCATTGTATTTGTACCGACAAAGATTAGTTTTAGCCTTGTTTTGGTTCAAAACAGGTGAAAGTAGTTAAAGACAATCCGATTGGTGACTTGTACCGAATAATGGTAATCGTAAGTGGGACCCTGATTTTTGGTACTTAAGTAAAAAGTACAGTCATGTAAAGACTCCGTATCGAACAACTTTACATCTTTTTCTCGCATTCGTACGCCTTATTTGTGATATACAAAGATACAAATGAATGCTACACAAGGAAGCGTCCGGTCATTAACAAAGCATATATATAGATATATATACTTCGCAAGTTTTAAGCAAAGGAATATAGCGATCAGCTAATACATATGTTAAAGCAGCTTCGTAAGCGTGAAGAAATTAAAGGCGTGATTCAAATAATATTATTTGATCCATTTTTAAGCTTACTCGTTTCTTTATACAGTTTCATATAATGTGATAAATGTTAATATTTAAATTTATCATAAATTGTCACATTGGCGTATCTATGTACGTGGCGATCACCAGGCGATTACAAACAGGTCTCAATATAAAGCTTTCAGTGACGGTCAAGTAGTTTAATAGCAGCATTTTACCTGAAATAAAATGCATGTTAAAATACTTACCTCACTGAAAGCTTTCACTTAAAATTCTGCCTGGTGAAATAATTGAGCCAATGAGTTAATATAGCGCTGTCAAAACTTAGGAAAACAAAAAGGGCCGCGCTTCTGCCAGGTGTCGCCACTGGACCGGATACAAAGTGAATAAAAGTACGGAAACTGATGGTAATTCGACGGGAAACGGAAGTGCTATCTCAATATAAAGCTTTCAGTGAGGTAAGTATTTTAATATGCATTTTATTTCAGGTAAAATGCTGCTATTTATTGACCAATAAATAACATAGTATGTTACATTTGGCAAGTCATAGTTTGGTGTGATTTTGTGTTAAAACCGCCTATGCAACTAAAGAATTAGTGGAATTTCAAAATAGAGGTGTCGACTCTGTCGTGATTCTTTAAACAAAACTAAATATAACATCAGTTTTTCCTTTTCATTCTGTATTAGCGGTAGATGGCCGTTTTGACGTATGTACGTTCATGAAGTTACATAATATTCTAAATTAGTTCTATATTTGAAAGAAATAATTATTGTTCCTCATTGTCATTAGACGCGCGTTTAGCCATAATATTGATCGAATCGCTTATTTTCGGTTGTAGAATTAAAATTTTACAAAACTATATAAAATCATTGTCTAACTTTAAATAACGTTACGAAAACCTTTACAAGTTTTAAACAATTAAATATAATATCATTTTTAATTCAAAAACACCGGCCCTTTGATGGAATCTAGATAAAAAGATTAATAAAATTAATTTATTCTTATATTCAATAACAAATGCTATGTCATACAAATAATAATATAATTATAATGTACTTATTCGCCAAGGCATTTGTTTTAAATTCAAAGTGTAAAAACATGAAATTGCTACATATAGGATCGGTAATGTCGCTAATTGCTAAATTTTTTAGTCAAAACTATATGTTTTCCTTTTATTCAATATTTATAAGCAACAACTTATAGCAATATTGGTAAAATGTATTTGATAATATAGGTTTTTTTTCAATAACAGGTTGACTTTTCACGTCACTATTGCAATGTGTCAAAACGGCCATCATAATAATATCTTGCCGCGACTATAGGTTTAGAGAATCATGCTAGAATCGACACCATACGCTATTCCCGACAAGTGGACTTGAAAACTTCATTGTAGTGTTGACTATCTCACAGAAGCTTATCGAGAACGCTAACTCAATAAATTTCATGCCTTAAAACGAGAGACATCGACATTCTAATGTAAAAAAATTATATTAAAAAATTTAACACAAGGCTGTATGGACGTTGTCCACTTTGCCTTCTCTGAAAAGGAAGAATATTAAAAAAATCAGTCAGTGTCAAAAACTGTTCATGAATTGTTTACGTTGTTGAAATTATTAGCATTTTTTATGATTTATTCATAATAAACTGATAATGGGGATATTTACCTCCTGTTGTAAACCTTCAGCTACAGAGGTTTTAACTCCGGATGCTGTAAGTTTCATAAATGTCCTTAACCTTATTATTTTTTGTGCTTTAATAAAATCCATTGTTATTGTTATCTTATCTCATGCAACTTATTTTAATAATATTTGATTGACATTTAATATATCTGATAGAACAGAAATATATAAAAACTATTTATTTTAGTACAATTTTCGTTATGACTATAATTGCATCATAGTGAAAGTTTACGTACCTAATCAAATATAACAATGAACATAGTATTCGCTACAGCTATTTCCATTATTTTGAACTGTCGTAAACCAAATAAAATTATTTTAACATATGTCACTTGCTACAGATTACCCTTAAAAGCACACTCTTAAACACTAGATAAAAAGAGACCAAACCATTTTGTTATTATAGGAAACCAGAAGACGTCAGCAAGCTGAGGCAGCTGAACGGCGTCAGGCAGAGATATCCTCACGAGGAGTAAAGGACCCCGCAAGGGTGCAGCGCATGCAGCAGCGTGCCGAAGAGATGGAGAAGCGTGAGAGAGAACTTGAGAAAGGAGGGGGAGCCAATTTGAGGGTAACTTGAAAATGTATTTCATAACTTCTCATTGAAATATTGGTGTGATGCTTCACACAGCATCAGGTTCTGAAAATAATTAAATCTTTGATTTTCTGTTATTTTTAGCTGTCAATAATATATTGTACTAGTATCATTTTGTTTTTTACAGTGGACATCTGATTGAGTTTCAATGCAGATTCATGGATCCGAAACATAAACATGATAAATAAATATCAATGCAAGAACTGAATAGCTCACCAAGAAGATTCTTTAAGCCTATTCTAGATGTATGTAATCCAGCGTACCAACCAAGGTGACCTTGGTGGGAAGTTGGTTTCCATCCGCGTTATACTTTACGGCTACATGGATGTAATCCACGCGCCAACACGCAATCGCGAGCCGTCTTCTGGTGTGAAAACATGTATGCACTTGTATCATGAGCGGACTGTATTAACCTTGTTGTAGAAATGGTCTTAATAGTTTTGTGTGCAATAGACGACGAAAAACAACAAAAAAGAGAATGTGGATGAAGCATTGATTACAACAGCGAATGATACTCAGCCATTCAAACTTATTGGTGTTATTGAACTTAAATGGTATTCATAACTTCCTAAGAATATGTGCATGCAAACGTGCGCATCCGCCGACTGCCACAGCGCACCTGTTTTTGGTTGTATGTAATCCACCGGTCAAACTGTTGTAATCCACACGCTCCAATCGCAGATAGAAACACGCGGCCGTAATCCAAGGATGTTGAAGGTCAAATCAAAATTTGGATTATATCCTTCTTCTAGTTGGATGGCAACAGGAAAGGTCACCTTTGTTGGGACCCTGGATTACATCCGTCTTGTATAGGCTTTAGTATGTAAAAAAACAATTTGTAAATTCCCATCCAAATACAGATTTGAATATTTTTAAATGAGATAATATGTAAGAATCTAAATATACTATGTTAAAATCTCAAAATTATCATATTTTGAGAAAGATTTTAAATTTAGTATAAAGCAGGATAAAGTTACATTATACATATTATGTGTATAAAATAATATTTTGCTTATGTAAGTGAGTTTCCAACTATAATATGGTAATGTTTTTATTTTTATTCAGTCAAGTTACAAAGTTATTATTTGTTGATTAATTTTATGAATTGTATTATTTGTTATTTTATAAATTTAATAGTTCATAATTATTAATAGATGGATGCATAATCATGAAGTTCTGTGCTGTGTTGAGCAAATCTAATGCAAATCCATTAATTCTTAAGATATTGGTGTCAATTCTGGCGTGCATCTCTAAACTTAAAACTAAATTAAAGGTCAGTCTCACCTTTTCATTCTGTATAGAGAAGGACAAGGATGCACTGTTGTCAAATTTAAGTTTAGGTTTAGATAATCATGCCAGAATCGACATCATTACCGACATAATATTGTGCATGTGTAACCTTCTTTTGTTTAAGCCGCCAGCCACTTCAAAGTGATTTCGTGCCGACAACTGCAATTCAATAATATCAATTGGAACCAATTGCAACATTATTGTTATTGAAAAGAAAAATCATAGAATGTTTAGTATCATCTGTGTGTATATACAACCAAATGCTGGCAAAATTGTTTCCAGACACTGTTATCTTAGTCATTGAACATATTTATCACTAAAATGAAAGATTTGAGATGTTCCTGAGAGACTATTTTCTACTACCTCATCTGTCTTGCAAAGACATAATGCATGTATGCATGCATGTTATTTAAATTTGAAACTGAAGTTATTTTACAGCTTTAGTAATTTTATCCGATGCATCATAAAGTAAATAAATATAGATTTATTTGTCATAAATAAAAAAATATCTTTAACTTGCATCTTTGAAATAATTCAATCCTAAAAAGTTGCAAGTTAATGTATTTAATAAAAAATGCACCATTAGTTTCCCAACTATGATGAAAGAGTTTCATAATAAATACAGGGTGTTACAAAAATACAAATAAATTTGAAGGGCGTTGAAGTACATCATATAAGGAGTCTTCTCTAAATTTCTTAAAATATTTGCATGAAGTTTTAACTTTTTATAAAAACAGTTATTTTTAATGATCCTCGAACTAGTGACGTGTCTTAAAAAGATCGATATTTTTATAAAGCATTAAAAATAACGGTTTTTTTTTTTAATTTTAAACTTCATGCAAATATTTTAAAAAAAATAAAAAAGACTCCTTATATGATGTACTTCAACGCCCTTCAAGCTTTATTTGTATTTTTGTAACACCCTGTATATGTATAATATTGTTAAGTGATATTTTTGTACCCTTACATAAGTATTGTGATTTATAAATATTATAAAAAAAATGTGTTTATTATTTTATCTAAACTTTATTTCCGAAGTCATAACGTTGATTGCGAAAGCACTCAAACTTGCAATTGTATTAAAGTGGAATGTTTTTATTAGGTCTGGTCGTGTCCAACAAATAAGGAATGATTTAATTCATTGATGGTAGCATAAAAACACTTGAGATTTATTTTATTTTAATTAAAAAAAAACAACTCTCCCAAGTAAAGGTTTTCAAACTAGCGCCTTTCGCATACTGTGCGAACACATTATTGTTACGCTACCAAGACTACAATGAAATTGTTGAATTTTATTCTGGTTAGCGCATCCTCACATAGTAGCTAAACTATAATGCCATACAAAATGTTTAACTTTACAAGTATTAAACATAAGAAAATAGAAATTTCTAATGCAGATTTTCTTATAACATAAATTAAGCATTAAATTGCTTAGTTTAAAGAAAATTGTTGGCTGACTTGATTTTTTTTATTATTAATTCATCTCTGCAGGCAGAAGCAGTTTAGTAAAAGGTAGTTAGATAAATTGAACAGTTTTGAATAACTATCCAAAAATGTTAAATTTACTCAACTGACTTACGGTTTTATCTTGCTATGTGTAAGATTTACAATAGATTAACAGCTGTTTTTTTATGATCACTTGATGAAATAAAACTAGTTTTAATGGGTCAATAAAAGTCTTTCGAATGTAGCTCGACAAAGTAAATAAAAAAAATCATTATTCTGACGATGCAGACCTGAAAAGGCTGCGAAACGTCAATAATTAAATAAAGTTCTTCCATTAACACGTTAAAGTTTTATTTAATGAGTGATGTGCGTGAAAACCTAAGAAACACATATCACTTGATGAGTTGGTGACCGTATGTACCTAATAAATGTTAGGTTAAAGTATTATCCCAATATTATAATATATCTTGTTTATATTATAAAACGCCTTTTTTATCACTCAATCACGTTATTCAAGCCAATAGTTTAGCTTTTCAAGGCAGGGTGGGACGCCCTACTCGAACAAAAAATAGCACTAAGCTTAAAGTTCAATATTTCACAAATAATCCACAAATCGAAAAGTAGTTTTAGTGACCCCTAAGTAATTTTAAAGGACCTATTCACGATATCCCATGTGATGGTGTAGATGATGAAAAAAAATCATCGCTATGTAGTAGCTACCCTAAAAAAATATTCTTCAAACATTTATTCTACCTACCATTATGTCGGCGTGATCGATGTACAGATCTGCACAAAATTAATAATAATAAATAATAACAATAATAAACGTTTATTGACTTTAAGCAAGTTACAATATTTAAATTAATAAGATAAAAAGTTGGTGCCAAGAAGCACATTGGAGAATAAATATTGTTAAAGGTGACTTCTGTTGCCAGTGGTAGGATAACCTGTATTACAGGCAACAGGGTCCCCTCAATGTACGTAAATACTGTGGCCGATTTAGGTGTGCGCACATTGGTTGTGTGATTAACTTATATAGATATATAAACTAGTTATAAAAATTACAGAAACCGTCAATAACTAACTGCTGCCGTATTTAATTACACAATAAAGTGTTTTAATTATTTACTAAATACTCCGTAAATTACAGCTCTCTAGTGCAAACAGTCTCCAAGCAAATCCGGGGACGGACAGACGGACATGACGAAACTATAAGGGTTTCTTGTCAGGACTACGGAACCCTTAAATTATAGTTTATTTTATTTTCTATAACAATGGTGTCGATTCTAGCATGATTAGAAACCTAAACTTAAATTTGACAGCAGTATATCTTTGTCATTCTCTATACAGAATGAAAAGGAGAGACTGATGTTAAATTTAGTTTTAAGTTTAGAGAATCACGCTACAATTGGCACCTTTATCATGGATATAGTCTATTTATATTTTTACTTCAAAATGATTAATCAATCAAATCCTGCGAGGCTCTGTTGTCTGCTACACGTACCTACGTCGAACGGCGACCGCACATGAATAAACCATGCAGATTTACTTATCAAAATGCTATAAATTCTAGGCCATTTTTACAATAAACAAGTCAGTTTGCTCGGAATTGAGACGGATGTAGCTTAGTATGTTGCTACGATCTGATTGTGGAGATAATTTCCTGTAGACAAAAGCTTGGCGTAAAAACCTGCGTTGTTATGGCACGGCAAGGTTTTGTTCGATTGGCCGTATCGAATTTGAATAAAGGCCAATTTATTGTACGTGTTTGTGTATTATTAAAATTTGTTACAAAATTTAGACTTAATTTCTGATCTGGACTGTCGTACCATCCATTCAGTGAAGAAGTAACAATTTGATCATGGAGTAGTATAACAAAAGTTAATATGGAGAAAGTTAATCACACTAACATTATAAAGGCAAATGTTTGTGAGTATCTATGTTTGTTACTTCTTCACGTCTAAACGGCTGGAGCGATTGTAATAAAATTTGGTATGGGCTGACACCCTGGATTAACACATAGGCTACGTTTTACTGCGGGAAAATATCCCTAATAAACCTCAGGTAACATCTCGATGAACAGCTAGTATTTTATATATTACATCCACTAGCTACTTAAGTTTATCAAAGGGCTACACACAGTGCCGTCTTTGACCTATTGGAGGCCCTGGGCATATTAGGATAATGGGGCCCCTATGACTTCCGTTTGATGATTTAACATGAACTAGGGACTTTGCATTTGATCTCAGGGGGGCCCCTATCGATCGCGGGGCCCTGGGCACTTCCCCAAAGTGCCCATGGGAAAGACGGGTCTGGCTACACACATTCAGAAGGTGTTGTAAGCGATGATGGACTGCAAACCAACATATGGCCCGACTGATGGTAAGTGGGAAAACATAGTTAAAGGTTACTTCCCCAGATGGGCGCTCCGACTCGAGCGTATTCGAGCGGCGTCAC